GGATCTCCTTTATAGATTACAAACAAGATTTTATAAATAGGATTGAAGATGGTACATATTATTAGAAGTTTTTTATTCTTTTCTTTGATTTCAAGACTCAGATCCTCAATTGACCCAAAAAAAATTAAAGTTTAATTTTTTTTAATGTGATTTCTGGGTTTCTTCTTCAGTGAGGATATGAGAAAGCAAAAGGAGAAAATCAAGCTGTTTATCATGTCTCCCTGTTGTGACTTTCAAATTCGTTGACCATACCAAGGGGAAAATCACTGCTTGTTATTGTTATCTTCAACATCTCTTAAAATTCTGTAGCTGTATTTGAAATTAATTTATAATTTTGATCATTCATCTTAATAAACATAACCTTCCCGTGAGGGTCAAAGTAATCAATGAGAAAAATTTTTATAACTGGTAATATTGGGAAAATTATAGGATAAACACTAAAAAAAATGGTTTTGAAACCCACAAGCACCCTAGTTCACCAAATAAAAACTGAGAACCTGGAAAGTCATGACATTCTTCTGTTAGGTTAGCGTGATGTTTACCAATCTCACGTTCAAGGTATTATTCCATCTCAGATTTTTAATTATGTAAAAGCATGTCAAACTTGTTATGGACAAGTGGGAGGGAACAGTGAGGCCAGGAGAGTATAGGGGAAGGAGACGATATAACGGAAGTTTTTAACAAAGTTTGTTCATATTTAACGGCAGGGACCAATGGATTGAAAGTAGAAAATTAAAAGATCTAATAAAAAAAAGTATAAGGAATTAATTCAAAATTGATAAAACCAATAAGGACTTTCAACTTAGTTTTCTTTATGTATAATTCGCAAAAAGTTTTTTCGATTGTGCGTAACATATATGGCAGCTCATGTCTGTTCAACGGTTAAAAAAAGTAGTTGGCAAAAAGAAAAAAAGAGTTGGGAAAAAAAAGGAACGGATATGCGGAGAAAAATTAATTAATTTTCCTTGTACGGAAGAGTCAATCAGGATTTTCATTGATTGTTTTGGTGAACGTAGACTAAAAGAGTGTTTGGATAACTTTAAAAATACTTTTCAAAAATATTTTTTCGTAAATCGAAACAAACTCTCCTATATATTTATTTCATATATCATAAAAATATTTTTAAAATTATAATTTTGTTTCTACTCAAATACTTTATAAATCGGACGCACCGGGGACAGGGAACCAGGGAACCAGGGTCCCAACAAATAATAAAAGAGATGCATGCAGAGAGTTGAGGCTTGAGGGAGTGTGGGAGCTGATGGGGAAAAGCCGAAAGGCTTCAATGCAAGGCGAGGACTAGGAGAAACGTGGAAGAATGTTGGCCGTCCCAAAAGTCAACGTTGGACAACGCATATGGCTGATGAGAGGTTAGTGCAACGCTGCGCATGAGCTCTTAAAAGTCAAGCCGGTCGTCTGGACGGCCCGCGACCTTCCACGTCGCTCCTAGTGCTGAATCCAGATCCCTCTGGACTCGTGAGAACGTCCCTTTGAACTCACGTTTTCAAAATCGCTATTAATTGCTGCCGCCGCATGGCAGATCACAGCCTGTCAAAACCCCACCCCGCAAAAACTTCCCCTTTCTGTGTGCCCGCTGCCCACGGCACCCAACTTCTCCCTCTTTATTTCCCTTCATTTCGTATACAGGAATATCCCCGCTCCTCAGCATAAAATTAATTAATTTTGTTATTCGTTAAAAATATATATTAATTTTTTTTAAATATTCTCTTGATTTATTTATATTGAAATCGTCTTTTCATATAATGTGTAATATGTAAATTATAGTTTAAGAAAACAATAATTAACGATAAATAAATATAAAGAATAAAGTGTACGAAAATTTCATATTTATAATCAAGTTTAATTCTCAACTGACTTTTATATTAACAGCAGAGATGTAGTGCTATAACAAGGCTGTCACATTGCACAGTTTAATCAGCCCTCGATTTATCCACTTGCATGCGCTCAAGTAGCTCTCCTTCACTTGATTTGCTGAATAGTTTCCGCAACATATAACGTGATGCGTCAAATATAGTTTATCTGGTGGTATATACGTAATGTTACTGATAAGCAGGCGTATATACTCAAACAGCGAGTAGAGTCGTTAATTGATTACTAATTTACTTTTTTGACCAGCGATTACTAATTTACTATTACGGTGCCAAGCAATAATCTTAAATGGATATAAAATATTGTGACCTTGTTATTCATGATAATAACTTGTCACCTAACAAGCTGATTTCCTAATAAGAAGCTTGACGCGCCCCACAATATTACGAAGAAAACTTGTTCAATTAAGTTCGTATCTAGTTAATTCGTTGAGTCGCACTGTCGGCGTATTTATTTATTTATTTGTTGCCATATCTGATAACATGATCAATAAATTGCTTTCTAGGACCTGACTGTGTCGGTAGAAAATATTAATCAACCAAACAGGCTCATACCCACGTGATAATTAATTCTATTTATAGAAAATAGACATTTGATACATATCTAAGGATTGGGCTGTTGACAGAGCACGATGGCGTCGTGTGATTCATGTAGCCGACCCCACCTAGTGGGATAAGGCTTGTTGTTTGTTTGTTATAGAAAATAGACATTTGATGTGTCCCGTGTGTAATACAAATATGTACATTAGATATGCAAGGACATGGGATAAAACAAGCTTGCATTTGAAAGTATTGTTTACTATTAGAAGCAGCAGCAGTTGTTACTGTTATTATTTTTTTTGGTAAGTGTTATTGTTATTATTTATTATTGACCTTCTTCGTCCAACAAAAAATAATTCACACGCACACAAGGAGAATTAATTAAGTTTACAATCCTACGCTTAAAAAATGTGCCGAATATCGTTGTGTCTCAAAAGCACCCACGAAGTAATTAATGTGCCCTTTTTTCAGAAAAGAGGGATGCAACATAGTACAAAGACTTCTCGGGAAGTCATCTCTTCTAATACTACTCTCGTCCAAACATGTTTTACTGAGAAGTTCTAATAGAATTTGTCGCATTAATATTGGCGTGATTTGCATCTAGTTAATATATGCCCAATAGGTGTGTTTTGTATTGGGAAAAAAATATTGCCCCATAACCATTGCGTCACTACGTGCGTATACATGTGTCAATGTATGCTCGAAACATGCGATCCTTTTGTTGTGATTGGGATTTCAATTTTCAAACAGTCACGAAGGAGTCAATTAATTTTAAAGGAAGTTTGCAGTTTAGCGGCCTTTGATATTTCTTTCTATTTGTAATATTCTAGTTCTAATCTTTAATACAAGATGCAATGCCGTTGGCCCAAAAAAAAGGAGAGAGATAAAATCGACTATATTAGGAAAACTAATGAAGCTAAATTAATTAATTATAGCTTATATTACATAATTTTTTTAAAACACATATGTGTATTATTGGATTATATATATCAGTTTACAAGTCATGAAATTTAGGTTGAAAAAAAAATATAAGTATTTTAAGGTAATTTATTAATCTTACTTAATCTTTCTAAATTTATTAACCGAATCTCAAATAATTACTGGTAAAATAAAAGCAGTGATCAGGGATATTGACGAGCTAACCAATTTTGGTAATCTAAAGAAAGTCAAAGCAGGAACTGTTGTTGTGTGGAGCAGCTCCGGGAATTTGGAAGAGGCACCCACATAAATCTTATCTGGACAACTGGTAATTAATTATTGAAAAGGGGACGTCGCAACAGATGCGTTTTGATTGCATCCATGTGTGGGCGAGTGGATCGGCTTCGTTTGATTCATTTCAAGAAAGTCAAGGCACGTGCAGTGGGAAAAAAAAACTACTCCTCATCAGCTAATACGTATCATATGTATGTGTCTGTTTTTACGAAACCACTACGTTAATTTCATTTAGAAGAATTCAGATGAGCTGATTGCCTTTTCCGCGCGACCTCACCAAAGTCACCGCCACGTTGTTTTGGTAGCTTTGAAACCATACACGCATTTCAGATATTTGAGTGCCTTCTCCTCCCAAAACAAAACCCAACAAAGAAAACGTCCATTTCATATATTTAAGCGTCAACCGTCGAGGATGATTTTTTCATTCCTTCCCAACTCAAACTAGTTCAATTCCTTGGCCACAAAAAAAAAAAAAACTAGTTCAATTCCCACGACAAAACCCTAACCGGGGGGGGGGGGAGGAAAGCCTGCTTTATTTTAAAGGCCGAATTATTTTTTAAATCTGAATTTGTTAACAATACTCAATACTCTACGATCAGCAACAAAATTTCATTAATATTTGTTCATGACTAGTTTTTTTCAAAGTAGTCCTTATAAGTTGTATATGTTCAAGGTTTCATCAAATAATACTCTTTCGGTCCTTAATATAAGACCCATTTAACTAATTTGATTAGATTAAGCAAGTTAGGTAAGTTAGTTAATTATAAGAAAAGTGACACATTTTTCCTAAAACACCATAATCATCTTTCTTAATACCCCATCTCCCTCTTTTACTTGATTATGGTTAAGGGAGTATCCATAGGGGTAATTTAGAGAAAATTGATAAATATGAGAAATGGCTCTTATATTTAGGATCAAAACCAACTCAAGAATTAGATCCTATATTAAGGACCGAAGGAGTAATTCTAGTTAATACAAATTATTAGTGAGAATATTTAAAAAAAAACATATATTTATCATAAACAACTAATTTAACTAATTTTTTTAATTTTTTTAAATTAATTAATTAAATCTTATATTAATGATTGAAGATAATATATGACAAGGGAGGACAAGGATGATAGCGCTGAGAAGCATGGGACCACTCCGGCCGGAGCCAACTTGAGGACCCATGACATCATCATGAGTCCAGCCCTCTGCGTCAGCAATCCACGTGGCAGCATTATTGATGCGCTCATGGCATCAGAAACCCGTTATTCTCCCTTATCCCCATTCGCAGAGACGGAGCGTGAGACACACTCGCCAGCTTTCGTACAATAAATTATCCCATTTCCATATAAATTGCTGTGCGCCTCTTCATCCCTTTGGCCTTCGGCGCTCCCCTCACCTTACCTTCCATTCCATCGATCCTCGTTTTCGCCAATAACAAAGTTTCGCTTGGATCTTCGAAATCAAAGCTTTCCCAGAAACTCGCCTGATAAAAAGATCAAAGCCCTTTTAGCCCTTTCATGTGAAGTTGGAATCTTGAAGAGAAATGGACAGCAGCGTGCTACAGAGGACACCGACTAAAAGAAGCGACAAATTCAAGAAGAAGCCCATCAAGGTAGTGTACATATCCAACCCCATGAAGGTGAAGGTCCTCCCCTCGGAGTTCATGGCCTTAGTGCAAGAGCTTACAGGTCAGGACGCCGAATTGCCGGCGGATCTTTCCAGATTCCAGAACCCCGACATCGACGGTGGGCATCAGTCGTCGGATTCTGATCATTCGTTGGTCACAAAAAGTACTGGCAGTCATGAAAGTGATCACACGCTAGTGATGCCTCAAGTGGACCCTATTTTTAATAATTTCGAAGGCCAACTTGGAAGCTCAATGGGGGAGGGATTCGATCCATTTGATCATCATGTTTTCGCCCCTGATCAGATGATGGACGACATTTCAGCTTTCTTACCCCGTGGTGTGTTCTACGAATCTGATCTAGTTGACGAGGAGCCGAGCGGAAATATTGACGCAGTGTAATTACTAAAACTGCCCAGTAAGCTCGATTATTCCCTCCGGAGAGGTCCTATATTTCCTGGAAACTTGTTAATTTTCCGATTATACTATATGTACTGTCTTTGTCTATATATAATATAAATACTTTATGTATGTCAGAGAACATGCTTATTGATTAACTGTAGCTTTGACAATAACTTTGTTCAATTTGATTTGATGTTGGATTTGGGTGTGAAAGAAGAGAAATCCCTAACACTACACCTAGGAATGAGTAGTTTCTTGAAGAAGATTGGCGGCAACATCGATGGAAGGAAACCTAGCTAATCTTTGTTTCAAAAAGTTCTTCTGATCATTATTGATTATTAGTTGAATTGAAGATGGCGGTGCAGTCAGTTTTGAAATTGCTTGATTGATAAAGAGTAAAGTAAAATTAGTGGTTCAGATTGATGGCGTTCCCTGTGCGTATATGCATATATATGATGATTACGCTTGCTTACTATTGAGGATCACAGGCACTTAGGGAAGTGTGAAAACGAAGAATGGGATAGAGCTTAAGGTTTTAGTCATGGTAGAATTGAAGAGTCTTTGAGGTGATTGAAGAATGCTTGTGAGGGTTGTCCTAAGTCCTTCTGAGTAAGTCCCGGTTTAATTAAGATCTTATACAGTGCGGAGAGGCTTTTATCAGATCAAGTGCAAAATTTATGGCAAATAATAATGATAAGAAATAATAATACTCGGTCAAGGAAAATTACGTGGATAGTACTTGTTTTTACACTAATAAATTAAACGCTCAGCCTGGGTTAAGATAATCAAGCGTGGACGTGGTTATAAATAAATGTAGAGAATATAATGCAGAGAAATTGCTTTGGAAAGATCTTTAATATTTACAACTTCCATTGGTGTGGAACTTTCCAGCTTGCTGTGGCATGGAGGTTAAAGTAAACTATACACAAGTACTTGTCTTTTGTTAGCCATTTGTAGGTTTTCACTTTCCATATATATATGTATATGTATATATATGTTTGGCTGCGCTGGTTATTAAATTACTATGATTTTAAAGTTGTGATAGTGAGAAATTTAGAGCTGGGAAAGTGATCTTTATCAAACTTCTTGTCTCTTTATATCTGTACATAGCGGTGGTCTCATCCTGTGCCATACAAAGCCCAACTTGCTGCTCTCTGTTAAGGCCAGATAAATATCAATGAGCCATCTTATTTAAGACGCCGAAGTTGAACAACTTTCGCCTATTGATTGCTACTCCCGGTTCATAACAAATCATTTTATAAAAAGACAACGGTTGTTTTCGCTCTTCATAAAATTTAGTAAACTAATTATAACATATTTTTTTAAAATTCTCTTCATATAAATTAATTCTCAATCTACTGAAGAGTGTGCATCTTTAAAATTCTCTTCATATAGATTAATTCTCAATTTACTGAAGAGTATGCATCTTTGATTTTATGGTGACGGATGTAAATAATAACTTCAATTAAGAGTAATTTTGGAATGTTAACATAATTTTTGGGGAGAAATATTTGCAACAAAGTTTAGTGGCTTTTATTAATTTACGTAATCTGGGTTAAAAAGAATTTATATTATGAATACAAGGGTACTATTATTTTTGTGTCAAGAATATATTAATGAGGAATAATTGAAGAGATTTCCATTATATCGGTGCCAAAAAGACGTCAATGATCTCTGTTGAGTCCTTATATAAAATTTACTGCCATCTATTTACTTTTAACAGTTAGGCCTGACGCTATCTTAATTTTGATGGTCACATATATATACACACTGCTGGGTTAGAGAGAATTCATTGATAGCGACATTATCTTTTCAGAAAGCAATTCTAAATTCAAGTGTTGTAACTGCGCATTTCAACATAGTTAATATGATACTGATATTGCATGTAATGTACGGTAGACAAATTCGGGGAAATGGGCAAAAAATAGAAGCCCACGGATTTGGTAGTGAACGGACCAGTTGCCAAATCGGAGCGAGTTAGGAACAAATGATGTGGGTGGGGTGGGGTGGGAGGGGGGGAGCGCGTATTTACGCAGGTAGCCATATTCACTTGGTTTGATTATAGTTCTCATGAGAAAAAGGATAAATTAAGTACTCTTTTGATTCTAAATATAATATTCATTTTATAATATATAAAATGAGTTTTATATTTAGAATAAAAATAGTAATTAAATGCAACGTGTGTGGAATTCATCGAGGGTTGAGCTCGCAGCTCCTGTTTACTTCCGCCAGTAAATAGCAAGCGGGCCTTAATTTGAGCCGTCTGGACGGAATATAAACTAGTGGGTAGGTTCCGCCACCAGCCACTTGCCGTGAAAGGCAGCTAACTGTAGCCAAAAGGTGTCGACATACGAAAACAAACCTTGTCTGCGGTTGCGGTCTATTCGCACTTAGGAAAGAATGGATAGTGACACTGTTGCAATAGAATTCAACTTGCAATCTGTAAAGCAGCCGATTGCTATTTGATACCCCTCAAAAATAAAACACTGCTTCATATATCGGAAGGTTTGCGTGTGCGCACTGAAGACTAAACTGTTGAATTTATGACACAGAGCCTTAAATTGTTTCCCCGTATATAACGTATATGGCTTACGAAATTAGCAATAATTAGTAGCTTATTTACGATTTCGACCGTCTCCCCTCTTTTCATGATTTAAAAGTTTCCTTTGACCTAAACACAGATAGCAAAATTAATTACTACCTCATGTCCTTAATATGAGAGCCAATTGGTTAATTTGAATAGCTTAAAAAAACTAGTTAAGTTAAAAGTTAGATATTTGTAATAAATAATATAATATTTTTTTAAAATATCCTTACTAATCAAGTGTCACTTAATTTGATGAAATATTTAACACTTATAACTACCACAAGGATCACCTTAGGATAGAAAAAATAAATAAATATGAGAGACACAGTAGATTAAAACCTTATATTTAGAATCAAATTGAAAATCAAACTAACTATTATATTAAGGACTGAAAGTAGTATAAATTAGGAGCGTTTTGGCTTCATGAGTGAAGTTAACCTATTGTTACTGTAGAGTTTAATGGCACTTATTAGCTCATTTTGGATTTACTTAGGTTCTCTGAGGGTTTATCAGCATGTTTTATGAGTCGAAACAAAACACTCTTCATATATTTATCTTGTATTTTATAAATTATGACTAAAAAATTATTTATAAGTCGTTTTAAACAATATCTATATAGACACCAAGCAGCTTGCAACTTGGCAGACCGCGCTGACCTGAGCTGAAGAAATTTTTTGTTCCCGACTGCCGAGTCTCTCGTCAAGTTGCTGGGCGTGGCGTCAATACTTTGTCTTAGGGTGGTTTGTAATTATGATTTGATCAACTTCATTCGTCGAAGGACTTCGTGCTGTCGGTTTCTCGGGTACTCCTTTCTTTTTGAGTATGGCATGGGGTTCAACAGCTTTATGTGTCTCTCACGAATTTAATGTACAGTGAATCCGGCATAAGATTCTTTGTTTTTCCCCCCCTTTTCCTCCCAAGTTGTATCTGTAGGCAAGTTGCTTAAATTTTTGGCCAGACTGTAGCAAGTTGTTGAAGCATTAATGTAATTAATATCGGAATAAATAATATACTTCTGTCTTTAATATAAGAGCTAGTTAATTAATTTGAGTAGATTAAAAAATTAGATATGTTAGTTATTTGTAATATATAAATATTGTTTTTTTTTAAAATATCCTTACTAGTCAAGTATATTGGCTAGAACTATTATTATTAGAAGGACTAACTTGAAAAATAAATAAATAAATATAAGAGACAAAGTGAATTAAAGTCTTATATTTATAATCAAAATAAAAATTAAATGAGATCGAGGATGACTCTATTTATTGATATAAGAAACACTTTTTTTTAAAAAAATTAAAGTACTTATTATTATTTTTCTATTTTTTGTTCTTATTCAAGAATAAAGAGAGGAAAGAAATATTCTTCTTTATTTCCTATGCAATAGTGACTGCTTACTGGTGGGAAAAACTGAGGGTGTTATTACGAAATTTTGTTTTTCTACCTACATATTATATTTAAAAGCTTGTAGCTAAGTACTTAACCTATTTTCTTGAGGCAAAAGCATACCTTTGATTTTCTAACTCTATTAATTTGATTCTTTAATTTTAAAAAAGCATCCTTCCTAACTCTGGTTGTATGGTTATTTCGATGACGTACATTGATCGCCTCATTAAAAAAATTATACAAATTTTACACTGCGTGTGTTTCCAGGGTTGTTTTTCCACCGCAAAATCGCGCCTCCGAGGGGAATAATGATGATGATGATGAAAGGAACAGATTCCAATTCCATACAGAGGACCTATAAACATGCTTTTTCCATCTCACGAAATAAAGCCCGATTGTTGACAGCATCACAAGCTGGCCTGATGGCGTCTGGAATCACAGGCTTGTTTCTCCCACATGACGTTTATTCTGGCCGTGAATGTGAAACCAGGAATCAAAGAGTAACGGTGTTTCTTTCACCTTCTCAAGAATACTTTCATAAAAGCTGAGAACATCTTTATACTTATCTCATATATAACTGTAAAATAGCTTCTAAAAACCTATATATATATATATATATTATGCCCTTGTGTATTGAGCTGCGAATTTACGTTTTTTTTTATTTTTTCACTTGCAATCCAAAGAAGAAGGCATTATACCTTTCCAGTACCCAGAAAAACAAAAAAAAACCAGGTGGATTCGAACTCGTCGCTGTTTTGCTTTTTTTCAGGGCCACTAGCTGCGAAGTTACTGTGGCCTGCCCATGGATTTAGTGTTAGGCCCCACAACTCCACATCCAGTGCCCACTTGATCGCAAAATGTCAGAGGCGGCAGCGTTGAGGGGAAAAGTGGTCACGCCACAACCAGCCAATCGCGGCCCAACTCTGCAATCGCTTAAGACCCAAAAAACATACCCATTCTCAATCGCCCCCTCATGCCCAAAAAGTGTTTGATTAGTAAATCCTTCAAAATTGTTATTACTCTCCCGTCTTATTTACTATAAAGCAAAGGGTGAGTTTTTTGTTTTTTTAAATATAAACTACCTCATTCATTTTGTTATGATTATATATACACAGACACACGTCTAGTCCCTGTTTTGAAATGGTGGACGCTGCTTTTATTCCGTACTTCTCTGAGTTAAACAGTAAAATAAAAAAACAAAGGCCCAATAGCAATCAATCTCACAAAAAAGCTTTACATGCTGCGGCTATTACGACCATCACAGACATGGTAATGAGCAACAATATTGGATATGAAGCAGGTCCACTACAGAGCCTAGACCTCGTATACATACGAATAACGATGGCTTCAAAGACTCAAGGGTGCTGGTAATAATCCAGAATCCTTGAAACCGAAGAATATGTTCCCAGGACTCCACTACCAATTCCAAATGCAATCACCCCAACACTCACAGCCACCTTTGCAATTTCAGAGACACAAAACAAACCCCCCCCCCCCCCCCCAACAAGAAAAAGAAGAAGTCAGCAGCTAAATATTTAACCATCAATTATTTAGCAGTTAATTGATCAGGAAGCAATTCAATTACCTGGGTTTTTGGAGCTCTTATCCCTGCAATTTTCAGAAAACATGAAGTTGGCACCACCACCGTCTGCAAAATATGGCATTATATTCCCACGTCAGATCCAAATTTTCCTCGCAATAAACTGATGCAGAGTGGGCCAAAACAAGGGGAAAACGGGCGATGATAGAATTAAGATTCTACCCAGTTTGTAATGAGAACATCCATCACCAGATATTGAGTACACTATTTATCTTACTGAAAACTGAGACTTACCACGAGTATACTGAGTAGTGAGCCAATCAAAGCCATCACAAGCCCTGGTATACATATGACGTTATAACAAGGTAACATAGTGTTATTTGAGAATCTGAACTTACTGGAAAAGAATAACGTAACATATTGCAAATGACCAAGACTTAACCGAAAAAAGGAATCAGAAAAGCAACGCAAACTGTAGATATAACAATTGATGTTCTCAGAATCACGAAACACCTATTGTTATGTGAAACTTCAGCCGGCAGCAACTCCTCCACACTCCTCGCGAGTGGGATCATCAATAAAGCATACTTGTCCATCATTAAGGAACACTAACATATATAACATCTGATGGTTCAAGTGAATCCATGTGCATACACACACACACACATTAGAGTTTCATGCATAAATCAGTAATTAAATTTATGGCAAGAAAGGATATTTGGTGAATGTGTTGATCACCTGAAACACCAAGCAAACACAGAGATCAGAAACCACGCGCAACAAATCGGTTCAGGGAAAGGCAGACCAGGCCACAAGTTTTCATATTATACTCACTGTCGTCCACAGTGCAACTTTAGAAGCAAAAGCATGTGGTGGCATGTTTAACGTTATCTGAGGGAGAGTGTATTGACCATAGATCAGATATCCAACGACGGCAACGCTCCCATACATTAAAAAGCACAGAAGAAAGCTGTGCATAGAGAAATGAGATGAGTGAAGAGATGAATCAGAAAGAAGAGATCAAATAATGTTTGTCAATCGGTAAGTTGGGTATGTACCATATTATTAAGGCCTTGGTAAATTTTGTTTTGTCAGCCATTGACAGGTAAATGTTAGGGAAGACTGGATGTCCGGCATAACAAAACCCAGAGATACCGATAGCATAAGGGATTCCTCTCCAATTCACTAGCTGACCAGTGGGATGTGATCCCATACCTTCTGTTGCTCCAACCACAATCACAGACACAAGTACTAAAATTGTTGCTAAAACCCCTCCAGCTGCAGATTGTCATGTACGATGAAAGGTAAAAGAAGATACGTAAGTGCGTGTCATCAGGCTTTAAATTAAAAAGTGAAAGCAAAGGGGCTCTAGTGGTTAGTGAATTGGGTGAACCTGAAAGATAGGATATTTTGCGAAAGTCCTTCAACAACACAGTAGGGAGAACAACGAGGGCGGCCAAAACTCCAAACAGATGGCTGGAGTCCAGTTGGATACTACCAGTGTCCAAGGATGCTCCGGGAAACAACCTTGCAAGGTTATCTCCTTCCAGGATAATTGATTCCACACAATATGACTGCATTCGGTGAACACATCTCTTACATTATTGCAGAGCATTCTTCTTTTTTTTTTTTTTTAAGGAAAAAAAGATTAATTAATTAGGAATAGTTTGTTGTGTCGCACTTACATATAATTCAACGTACAGAATAATCTGCAGCAATATTTAAAAAAATAGTATGAGTAAACATTTAGTATTAAAACCAGACAGATTAAAAACACTATATGTAAAGTTCTTTCTCACGCGTGATAAAGAATTCAGAGTTTTTTTGTGTGGTCAAATAATGAATTTAGACCAAACATGGAAAATTGCAACAAAAAAATAATATCCTACCTTACGGTCAAAGCCTTAAGATCCTATGCTAAACATATAAGATATTTAGTATTTAAGGCGAACATAAGATCAAGACCTTAGAAAAGAAGGAAGGAAATTATAATAAGTAAAAGCATCAATACACCAAAAAAAAAGGAACGCCTCTATTTAGATACACTTCAAAATGTACATGTATTGTTTTTTCCAAATTGTTAAATTAGAACGCTAATGAAAATTAAAATTTAATTTTAAATTATTTTATACTTTTGTTTTTAATCTATTATGAACAGTTATTTTTATAGTTTAACCACCTGTCGTCGAGATTTTTTTTCTTTGCGTTATTTATTCTTCTGATTTAATTTGTTATTGTATATTTATATATTTTAAGTATAAATCTTATATTGTGATTTAAATAATCTAACGCGAACTCATAATACAAATTTTATAATTTATGTTGGTGCAAGGGCAGCTTGGTGAAACACTTGCGGGGGAAAAACAAAGAAGGGACTATGATAACTAATAAAACTCGGCACAGTTGGTAAATGGTTAGATCTTTTAATTAAACTAACATGGCGTTTTAGTTATGAATCAGATTATGTGAGTGGAAATTAAAAGGCTTTTTTGGAGAAAAGCAAAACCAACTTTGGGGATTTTTATTCCTTCAAGTTGTTATTTTTATAGCACCCCTCTAACACCGATCGTGGTAAAGATGAGGTAGAAGGGTGACCGATCGATGGTACTTTTATATACGAGTTCTGCAACTTTAATTTAGAACTTCTACGCTTACTCTCTTGCAACCTAGGCAATAAACATTTACTATTTAACCGTGACTATTGGCACGGGTAATATGTTGAATTATTGAATTTGTTCAAAATTAATACTTTCCTGATCCTTAATATACGATCTAATTAGAAAGTTGATATTAGTTCTATATGTAAGACCTATTTCATATGTTTATTAATTTTTTTTTGAATTAACCTTACTGGTGTTCATCTAAAAATAATGAAATAAGAGAAGGAGGAAAGAAATTAAAGAAGTTACTTAGGATGTTTTAGAAAATATATATCATATTAATTAATATTCTCGTTAATTAGATCCTATATTACATGAGTTACCAAGCGGTGTAACAGGTTGTTTAATTTCGAAGAGAAAGAGAGCATCATACGGAGACAGCAAGACGACCATATCTTCCAAAAGCAGCTTCTCCAATATCAGGGTAGGTTTTGATTCCCGGTCTCTCCTCAAAGCACTGCTTCATAAGATGCGCCGTATAGCAGCACACAACCGCGAACAGTGACAACAACACTATGCTCGCCCACCCAGCTTCTTTCACCGCGCTTGGCGCCGACAGAAGCCCTACGCCTGCCAACACATTCAGCCCTGCGTTCCATAATCATGTCAGTCACCGCCAGTTACATGCACACACACACACAAACAGGTGAGAGAAGCAAAAAGAGATTGATCAATACCATTAAAAACTGTTTGAGTGAAGCTGCACACAGAACCAGCTGCTGATTCTCCGGTGTGTTGTTCATGATGTGGAGCACCGTTATGCCTCGCTGATGAGATGCTTCCCAACCCATCATTCTGAGCGTGATCACTGCCTGCTTCGTTACCAGATAGAAAAGGAGCCTTCCCGTCGAGCTCAGAGTCGCCGCCTTTTGAAGTCGTAAAACTTGAATACATCGCCCCTGGTGTTTGAAGAAGCCCTCCAAATTGTGGTGATGCCGTAATTGCGTAAGCATCAATAGTCTCCCTGTCATTACAAAATCAATATATATAAACAATGTTATATTGGAGAGAAAATCGAGGCGATCGCCTGAGTTCAGACGGACGATCTGAAGAAAATTGCCGATAAATGGCCGTGGGGGGCCATTCGCCGGTGAATGACCACGGTGAATGTACGGTTGATAAATGATGCTGGAGTTATAAATGATGCTGGAGTTCAGTGGGCAGATATAGAATAGAAACACACAATATTAATTAAAGCGCTTACTTATAGCTTTGTGGCCATTGACGAGAAGAGAAAGCCTCCGCCGCTGCTTCGTGATTTTCTCCTTCATCATTTCCGCTACCTCTCACAAGGTTGGTAGTGTCGACGTCTCCAACTTCCTCATCATCATTTTGATCCAAACAATACTCATAGCTTCTCTCGTTCTCAATGCTAGTCATTTCAGTCACTAGCTCAAGCTCCTTCAGAAGCCCTGCACGCTTAGCTTCTGCTGCTGCTATATATATCTATTGAACTTGTTACTTATGCCAACCAAACAAAAAACGTTTTATTCTGTGAAAGCGTGAACAGCTCCACAGTAGAGTAAAATGGAAGCGGTGAATGCATAGATGGATGCAGAGAATGGTGGGAACGGTACGATTTGTATTGTTCTTTGAAATTCAATAACAGGAAGTATAAAAATATATAATATCTCTTATAATGCTCCAACTTTTCAGACTTTTTTTCTTGTAATGTATCTTTGAAATTTTTAAGATTTTTTTCTTAAAGAAAAGGCTATAAAATTATGCATTTTTAGAAAAATCATAAAAATTCAAAACTGCCTCTAAAAATAAAGCTTTACAAAATGATTATTTTCCACAAAAATGGAAATGCTTTCTAAAAATAAGGCTTTAGAAAATTATGCTAAGAAACAAACTGGTGCCCAATAGTACGGTGGATATGAATGCAATTCCGTTAAAAAGAAAAATTAAGAGCTCAGAAAGGGACAAATAAAATGAGAAAAGGGCGACAATGTCAATGCCGTGAACAACAACCTTTAATCTTGATGGGACTATCGTGTCTTCATCCAATTGGCTCAGCTTTAACGGCTTCTTGCCCTAGAACCACTTTTATAATATCATAATACTCATCAACTAAGATTTAATATTTAATATTTTTTAAAAAATATTTTTTTAATAAGTACATAATTCAAAATAAATATAATCTTTTAAGTATAATTTTTTAAAAATGAATTTTTGTTTAAAAATTAATAGTTAAAAATTTTAAATTTAGATTATTAAAACTGGTATTCAATAATTTAGATTTTATGACAAGCGAAACTCATTCTGTATTCCTCCTCACACTGCTTAGCACGTGTCCCTGCCTGGGCCTCCCAGTGGGTCCCCTTTTTCACGATGAGTCCCCTTCAAAGCCCAATCATTTTGGAGTCATTTACTTACTTACAAGGAATGTCTTGGGTTCCTTGTGGATCTAATTTCGGTGCTCATTATAATAATAAGTAATTTAAATTTATCAAATATAAATCATCTATATCTTATTAAGATGACTTGGATTTAATTTCTTTTTTATCTTTTCAAAATAATTATTTTTAATATGTATAGAATCTAAAATAAAAATAATCTCTTAATTATTATTTTTTATAAAAAAACTTATTTAAAAATAAATAATTAAAGATTTTAAATCTATACCGTTCAAATCAGATATAGAAGGTGCATATTTGATGAGTTTAGAATGCTGATTAAAATGATTAGCAATGAAGCTGGTTTCCCAACAAAAAGAATAAACATAAATACAAGAGATAAGACCCCGTACCGTGAGCCACGAGTCTTGCAGAACCAAGATAAGATAAGAGCGATTCCGACAATTCCCTTTTAGCGCGTGTGGAAGTTGTTACGTCACTCGAGGATAACCTCATTTTTAATGAAATTATACGACAGTCAACAAAGGTCGACCCAGTTTGTAATAAGTGAACTTATAATCTGTAAGGCTAGCAGTTCAAATTCTATTGTATATGTGAGTATTTTATTAGTGAATGATTTATAAGTATATTTGTAAATGTTTTTTAATATCTAAAAATATGCCTGGAATCTAGTGAGCCACCTTTGTATTGGATCCAAAGGTTTTATGCAGTTCACTCGTCCACTCACAGGTGAAGTTTGCAGTCCGCTTTTCATGAGGTTGAAGTCTTGGGCTTGGGCTCCATTGCACCAAGGCTTCCAACTGACTTTTCCGTTTCATTTTTAATATTTTCTTAATTAAAGATGTTTTGCTATTTTATACATCTTTTTCTTTCCCCCCGTGGCCATATCAACACGTCATTAATAATGATTCCTGGACTCATCAATCATTTTTTGGATTTCAAGTGAAAAAAAGCAAGAAGAAGACCAGACCTTATAATCTCGATTTATTTAGGCCATTATATATGCAAATCACTGAATAAGTCATGGACGTATGAGTGAGTGGAAATTTTGAGACGAGGAATGAAAAATGATTTGTTTCTTTGGGTATATGATGAAATAGCCCCTTGTGTAGGATAAATACAAGCAATGTAATAAGTAGACTTATTTTCTATTGAAATTGAACTGAGAATGTCAAGAATGCTTGTGTTCTCTCAAGCAAATCGAGAAAAGGAGGGAATCATACATATGAAAGAAAAACCCCAATCAACAGTAGCCCCCTTCTAAGAAAAAATGTGCATCCTAAACTCCAATAATTACCAGCCGTTCTCTCTGGCCAAACCAGAATCAAAACCATTCTAGTGATTGATGAACAAGAATTATACATATGAAGGATAAGTATAAAGGAGGTCCAATACAGAGCTTAGACCTCATGTAGATATGATTGACGATCTAGTATGTATCCAGAATCCTTGACACTGAAGAATATGTTCCCAGCATTGCACTAGCAAGTCCCAGTGCAATCACCCCAACACTCACAACCACCTTTATAATGTCAGAGACAGAAAAACAAACCCGAAGAAAAAGTCAGCAGCTAAAACTATGAACATTAATTATTTTTCAGTTCATTAAGCAGGTAGCCATTACCTGAGTTTTTGGAGCTCTTCTTCCTGCAATTTTCAGAAAACATGAAGCTGGCACCACCACTGACTGCAAAATATAGCATTATGTTCCCACGTTACATTCAATTTTCCTCGCAATAAACTGATGCAGGGTGGGCAAACAAGGGGAATGAAAACGGGTGATAGAATTAAGAGTCCACCCAGTTCATTTTATCAAGGCAGATGCAAGCTATAAATTTACGTACTATCAAAACTTCTGAATCACTAAACATTAAAAGTTTATTCATTAAGCATATTTTCTCCCCAAAAAGGTCCACAGACTAGGCTATATACACTTCCCTCCTTTTATATATATGTGGGGAACAACATTTTTCTCCTCACCAGCACTCAATGACGAATGCCTGTTTCCTCCATGTACGGTGACAAATATTTTATAATAAGAACAGCAGCATAATATTTATCTTACTGTAAGATTGGGCTTACCACAAGTATGCTGAGCAGAGAACCAATCAAAGCCATCACCAGCCCTGAGATATGACATTATAACAAATATCATAATTTACAGTCATTCAGCCCGTAGCATATAATGAAACTTGAAAAAAAAAAAGAAAAAAAGAAGAAGACTAAAACCTAGCCAAGAAACAAAATAACTAAATCACAAGTAAATGTTGCCTCTCCTTGCCTATACTTGAAACTTGCGCCCTCATAATAGCCAGTACCACATAAGGCTTTCTGCCTTGGATTGTCTGAAGTTATTTGAGAATCTGAACTTGCTCGAATAGAACAAGACAACATGCTAGAAAGTATCAATACTCACCGAAAAAAGGAATCAGGAAAGCAACACAAACTGTAGATATAACAAGTGATGTTCTGAGAATCACGAAGCACCACTTGCTATTTGAAACTTCAGTCGGCAGCAACTCCTCGACACTCCTCGCGAGTGGGTTCATCAACAAAGCATACTTGGTCATCATTAAGGAACACTAAAATAACACTGATGGATCAAGTCAAGCCACGTCCATATATTTGAGTTTCACGCATATAAACAAGTAAATTTATGGCAAGAAAGGATATTTAGTGAATGGGTTGATCACCTGAAACACCAAGCAACACAAAAATCAGAAACCACGCGCCACAAATTGGTTCAAGAGGAGGCAGACCACAGGTTTTCATGTTATACTCACTGTAGTCCACAATGCAACTTTAGAAGCAAAAGCATGTGTTGGCATGTTCAACGTTATCTGAGACTGAGTGTCTAGACCAAATATCAGAAATCCAATGACTGCAACGCCCCCATACATTAAAAAGCACAGAAGAAAGCTATACACGGAGAAATGAGATGAGTGAGGAGATGAATCAGAAAGAAGATCAGATAAAACGTTTGTCCATAAGTAAGTTGGGTACGTGCCATATTATCAAGGCCCTGGTAAATTTTGTTTTGTCAGCCATAGACAGGTAAATATTAGGAAAGACTGGATGTCCCGCATAGCAAAATCCAAAGATACCGATGGCATATGGGATTCCTCTCCAATTCACTAGCTGACCGGTGGGATGGAATCCAATACCATCTGTTGTTCCAACCAAAAACACAGACACAACTACTAGAATTGTTGCAATCACCCCTCCAGCTGCAGATTCTCATGTAAAAGAAGATACGTAAGTGCATGTCAAGCTTTCAATTAAAAAGTGAAAGCAAAGGGGCTCCAGTATTTAGAGAATTGGGTGAACCTGAAAGATAGGATATTATGCGAAGGTCCCTCAACCAAACAATTGGGAGTACAACAAGTGCCGTCAAAAGTCCAAACAGATGCATGGAGTCCAATTGGATGCGGCCAAAATCCAAGGATGTTCCGGGAAACAATCTTGTGAGGTTATCTCCTTCCAGGATAATGAACTCCACGCAATATGACTGCATTCGGTGAAAACTTGTCATGCATTTGATACTTATTTTTAGAAAATAGAAAAAAGATCAATTAATTAGGAATAGGTTTGTGGCACACTTACATATAATTCAATGTACAAAATAATCTGCAATAAATAAAAAAAAATGGTAAGAGTAAACATTGTGTATAAAAACAGTGGCGTGCAAGAATTAAAAACAATGTATGCGATAGATAATTCAGACATTTTTTGTCAAATATAGAATATTTAGTATTTAAGGCGAACATAGAGATCAAGATTGAAGACTTAGAAAAGACGGAAAAGGAAAGTACGATAACTTAAGTAAAAGCACGCCGATACACCGAAAAAAGAAATGCACCTATGTAGATATATTCCAAAATGCACCTGTATTTTTTAACTTGCCAGTATTAAATCGTAACGAGAACGAAAATTAAAATTGGAATTAAAAATTTAATTTTGACTTATTATTTTATACTTTTGTTTTTAATCTATGGTGAAAGTTTTATTTTATAGTTCCAAGTACCTGTCAGATACTTTTTGATTGATTTAAATACGCATAGCGCTGCTTGGTCAAACCAATATGTGGCCGAGAAACACGATCCAAATGGAAAACACTTCAAAGTTCAAACTGTCAAGAAAGAATTCAACACACACACACACACAAACAGAGGAACATACGGAGACAAGAAGACGGCCAAGTGGTCCAAAAGCAGCTTCTCCGATGTCAGGGTAGGTTTTGATTCCTGTTCTGCTCTCAAAGCACTGCTTCATAAGTTGCGCCGTGTAGCAACATACAACCGCGAACAGCAACAACACCACCATGCTCCCCCACCCTCCTTCTTTCACTGCGCTCGGCACCGACAGAAGCCCTATGCCTGCCAGCACATTCACCCCTGCGTTCTCCACACCACGTTTACGTTATATTTAATCATGTCGTCATCGCCACTTACATATATATATCACACACATCTGCACACACACACAAAGTTCAACCCCTCTGGGTACGTACGTAGATGAATCATCCTGCTCTTGCCCCTTAAAAAAAACAGGTAAGAGAAGCAAAAAGGGATTGATTAATACCATTGAAAACTGTTTGAGTGAAGCTGCACACAGAACCAGCTGATGATTCTCCAGTATGTTGTTTGTAATGTGAAGCGTAATTCTCTCTTGTTGATGACTGCCTTCCTGGCCCAACACTCTGAGAATGACCATCAGGGCCTTCCTGACCAGATAGAAAAGGAGTCTTTTCGTCGAGGTCAAAGTCGCCTTTTGAAGTCCTAAAACTGGAATATATCAGGCTTGGCGTTTGAAGAAGCGCTCCTAAATGTGGCGACGCAGCAATTGTGTACGAATCAATTGTCTCTCTGTCATAACAAAATCACAAATGATGTCAAGTCAGAGAGAAAATTAAAGTGGTTGCCTGAGCATGGAGATCTGAAGAAAATTGCTCACAAATAGAAGAAAATTATTTTCTCGAACACGGCTAACGAATGAGGCTAAACTTCAGGGGGCAGCTATGGATATCAGAAGCTCAAAAGAAAGACAAGCTTACTTATAACTTTGTGGCCATTGACGAGAAGAGAAAGCCTCCGGCGCTGCTTCATCACTTTCTTCATCGTCCCCCTCGCCTTCATTACCGTTACCTCTCAAGAACTCGGTAGTGTCGACGTCTCCAACTTCTTCATCGTTCTGATCCAAAAAATACTCATCACAGCTACTCTCATTCTCATTGTAAGACATTTCAAAATTCCTACAAGCCAAGCTACTGCAACTGGTATACCAACCTATCGAGCTTGGTATTTATAACAACGAAAACGAAAAACGTGTTACTCTATGAACAACTCCAAGGCAGGGTAAAATGGAAGCAATGAGTTGGAGGCGGCGAATGCTGCGTATAGGAACGAGTTGTATTGTGTGTTGAAATTCAATAACCGAAAACATAAAATTGTTCGCATGTTTCTCAGAATTAAAATGGATATTATTGTTAAATGTGGTCTTAGATCTGTTGCAGCTAACATATTATACTTGGGATTCTGAGATAATCAGAATAAATAAAAATTATACCATTTACTACTTTGTTGAAGATTTTACGCTTTCCGTTAATATATTGGAAAAGGATTTTTTTTTTTTGGGGAGCACTATCGTCTATCGATCCTAAATTATTCATTTTATATATAAAATGGAATGTAATTAATGAAAATTTGTTTATATAGTAAGTAAATGATTTATTTTGTTGGGAAAAAAAGTAAGCGGTTTATTTTCCACAAAAATGAAAATGCTTTTTAAAATATAACACCAGGGAAAAACAGAGAGACGGAGATAAGACCCAAATTGAAAGACGAGTCTTAAGGAACGGAGATGCGATAAGAGCGATTTTGTAGGGGCATGAGAAAGTTGTTACGCCACTTGAGGGAATCCTAATGGATAATTATAAGCTTGTTTTTTCAATCAAATTATACAGTCACATTCAAATGGATGATTATGATAATAATTCAAATAATAAAATCTAGACAGCCTGCCCTTGATCAGCATTTTTGTTTGGGATTCAAGGATAAGAATATTTAGGCCATTAAGATCGAGTGAGTTTCACTCTCAAGTGAATCCTGCGGTTCACTTTTCATGAGTCTTGGGACTTGGGCTCCATTGAAACAGGGCTTCCTGTTTCTTTTTCGTTTACTTTTAAGTATTTCATGAATGACTAGACACGTTTCATTATTCTGGCATACGTCCTTTTGTGTGTGTGTGTGTGTGAGAGAGAGACCAAATCAGCACGTCATTAATAGTGATCCCAATAGACTTGTCTATCTTCATTTTATCGATGTCAAAACACACAAGAAAAAGACTAGACCTTATAATTCTGATTTATTTTGGCCGGTATGTGTGTGTGTGTATGCAAATCGCTGAATCAGTGATAGACGCATCTGCGTAAGAGTAAATTTTGAGATGGGGGACGAGAAAAGATTCGTTTCTTGGGGCATATGATGAAGCAGCCTCTTGCTTGGAATAAATATTATGCGCGATGCATGTTAAAGCTTCTGCTTACAGGCCAAGAGATGCAAAGTTCTCTGCCCACCCATCAAGATTGCATCTTTTGCTGCGCATAAATATCCCCTCATTTCGTTTCTTCATCATACTGCCCTCGCCTCCTGCCCCGTCTCGTCTCCAAGCATAACATCTCTTTCAAATCCAAAGAGAACGAGAAGAAGATGGGTCAACGCCTTAACAAGCTCACCTCTGGTACGATATCTCTCAAACTCTCTCTCTCTCACACACACTGGCTCTGTTATACATATATACACGTGTACATGAAAGGGTCTGGGGAATTTGATGCATGCAGGAGGCGAAGACTCACAGAAGAAGGAGGAGCTAATGAAGGAATGTTACGAAAAATATTTGAAAGACAAGACGGACTGCAAGCCAGGCGAATTCTACCGAGCAATATGCGATGCAGTGGAGTAATTACTGAACAGGGCCTGTCCAACAAATTAATTAATTTAAACAAGAATCTGATTAAATATATGTGTGTGCTTGGACAGGAAACTGAATTCGAAGAGGGGATACACGCAGGTGAGAGCCTTAAATGCGGATGAGCTGGAAAAGCAATACAAGGTAAGCAGAGAAATGAATGGATGGTATGAATAATTGAACTGAATGAATGAGTGAATGGGATTTGTGTGGGCGCAGCATTATTGCAAGGGTGATAAGCCGACGGACGAGGAGTTCAGGAAGATGATGAAAGAAATATTGGAGGAGAAAATAGAGGTGACGGGCGTGGGGTTGAAGGATACGCTGCTGTACATATTTGGAGTGCCTGCCTCTGCCACCTTCATCAAGAACGCCCTCATGCCCTCCCTCGTCTCCAACGAAGTTCTCATCCCCGGCTTGACTTCCCTCACCGTCCTCGTCCTCGCTAAGCTTAACAAGATCTGACTTCTTCACTCCATTTTATAACTCTTCCCCCCCATTCTTATATGCATTCCTTTTCTTTCTCTCTTTAATAAATCATTACTATTTCATTCCTGCTTCTATTCTCTGTCTCCCCCCGCTTCTATCCCCGGATAGTTGATTTGTGTTGTTATGCTGGGGCCATATTTAATAAAGAATTTTTTATAAAATTCACATACAAAGTCATTAGATATACCTAAATTCAAAAATTTAATACAAGTTTAAGAAGGAGTTAATACGATTTTGTAAACTAAAAACATTTAAAAAAAATAAACTTGATAAGTACGCTTGTAAATTTGTCTGAATTTACAGCTGACACGAGTTTAAAAGCTACTCAATATGATTTTGTAAGTTGACACTCTAAAAATGTTAGACTTGAAAAGTCAACTCGTAAGTTTAATAATAATGATCATGCTTATTACAGTTTGGGGAGCAAAAAACTAGGTTCACAAATGTTCTTTGCTTTAATTTTTTTTCGCGTCAATCAAGAAAACTAGAAACTAGTGTTTATTCTTTCTATCTGTGATCTACTCAATAAACCTTACGGAAAATTTGCTAAAAAGGCAAAACACAGATTCAGCGTTCGCTTCCACGCGTCAGGGTTCTAAAAGTTGTGCGGGACGAAGGGCCCTCGCTCTCGACCCCAAATCTACAACGTAACACAAACATAGGAAGAAAAATTCTGCTGTGCGTCTATCAATTTTCAAAGTTTATTATTATGCAAAGCATCACGACCAGTTGCTAGTTACCATAACTCCAGTCGCACCAACTGGAGAACAGGTCCTAGGCCCCAGTCTGCTACTGACAGGTGTCAACATGTTCACAGATATTTACGGATAATGTGCGTCGCCTGTAAGATTGGCGCATCCCCAAACTATTTGGGAAAATGAGAATCCAAAAATCTCACGTTTGTTTTGGTTCCTCATGGGAAGGGGAAAAAAGGCAATCTTTGCTTCGGTAGCTCTTTTTCACCCCAAAACGAAGAAAGCATCGTAGCATCAAGAAATACACGATGAAATCAAGGATTTGAAATTAAACTCACATTCCCCTGCACGTTTCTCTAGATAGAAGTTCTTGCATGGGATGGTCAGAAACATGGTCCGAATCCAATGTTATCAATCGGGTGCATACATTTCCCGTAAACAAGCTTAAATTCGAGAGGGAAAGAGTTTTCAGATGTAACAAAATACAAAACAAAAGAACGAAGAGGAAAGAAAGCAGAAATCGAAATGATGGGCAGAGATGGTGGTGTTATGAAGGCGTGGGAAGCCACCGTTCGGAGGACGCACGCAGTAGCGAAAAAGCGCGCCCATAGCATATTTGGGGCCTACACCTACTCTGAATCGCATGCAAATGAAGAAGTTCTGAACGTCGAGGAAAATGGAAACGAAGTCCAATACGAAACGTACCACGCAGAGAAGGCTTTCCCCAATGGGGATTACTACAACGGTGAATGCACGGATAATTTCACTCACGGCATGGGCAAATACTTGTGGACAGATGGGTGCATGTACGTGGGAGAATGGTGTAAGGGCAAAACGATGGGAAGAGGAACGTTCAGTTGGCCTTCAGGGGCTACATATGAAGGCCAATTCACCAATGGTTATATACACGGCACGGGTACGTACACAGGGTCCAATGGGGACACCTACAAGGGAAAATGGGTTATGAATTTGAAGCACGGTTATGGCTTGAAAAACTTTGCGAATGGCGATTGTTATGAAGGGGAATGGCGACGAGGGAGTCCGAATGGACAAGGGAGATATCAATGGCAAAATGGGAACCATTATATCGGGGAGTGGAAGAATGGTTCTATTTGGGGAGAAGGGTCATTCGTGTGGGCTAATGGTAATAGGTACGATGGCTTGTGGGAAGATGGTTTGCCTAAAGGGAATGGCAGTTACAAGTGGTTTGATGGTAGTTTTTATGTCGGTAATTGGAGCAAGGATCCAAATGACCAGCATGGAACATATTATCCTTCTGAGTCAACCCAGGAGGGCCATTTTGATTGGGATCCCCAATCGTTGTATGATGAGTTAAATCAATGCAAGATATGTCCTGGGGAGAAACTTTCGGTTCTGCCATCTCAGAAGAATCCTGCAGTTTGGAAGTCCAATAAGGCTGGGAGAACAACGTCGGATACGAGGGCAGGCGAAAAGGGAAGCGATGTGGCGGTTTCACGGGATTGTACTGCGGACGGTGAAGTTAGTGGTAATGGAACTTCAGCTGCAGGCAATGATTTGTTAGAAGAATTATTGGGTTTGCGTGTAGATGATATTATTGAAGATGGCGAGGTTCAACTCCAGGTTCTGAAAGTACCAAGGGCAACAAAGAGGCAGGGAGAGGCCATATCCCCAGGCCACAGAAGTTATGATCTCATGCTTAATTTACAATTAGGGATAAGGTATCTTATATTTTGGCACAAACTGCTCTGTTTCTACAAGTCAGGCCTTGACCTGTTTTTTGTTTGCACTGGTTTGCCTTTGTTTATGTATCGTTTTCTTGTCCGTCAAAAAGGAAAACATTATTAAGTCAAAATGAACCAAACACCTAAGAGCCTAATAAACTTCGCCTTACATCCTACACCTAGCAGCCTTTAGTTTATGCTTGGTAAAGCTTTAGTTCATTTTCTTCGATCATGCAAATCAACATGAGTTTAGATGTTACTTTTTCTGACTCATCTTGGAATTTATATCAACAGTTCATTTCGCTTGCTCCAAGAACAAAATACCTTATGCTTCTTCTTCTTCTTCTTTCCATCTAGACATATTCCCGTAGTTCCAGCCAACTCAATCCCTCAAAACTCTGCACTCTGTAACTTTCTTACACGTAATGCGTGTGGCTATTCGTTTTACCTTTCATTATACATGGTTGCTTCTTGCTCTTCAACTTAGCTTGCAGAATATCATTCGTTAGCTTTACCCAGGCATTCCGTTGCAAGGCCTGGTCCCACGACAAATTTTGATCTGAGTCCTTCAGATTTTGATCCCAAGGATAAAACATGGACCAGATTTCCGCCAGAGGGATCCAAACATACCCCACCACATGGATCTGCTGAGTTTAAATGGAAGGACTATTGCCCAGTTGTTTTTAGGTCAGCCCTCTAATTTGAAAATGTTTTTTATATGTCAGTTGTTAGGTTCTTCCACCAATAGTCCTTTTCGCCATCAGGTTAACTATGGATATTTTCTTGTTAAGGACTTTAAGGAGTTTATTCCAAGTTGATGCAGCTGAATACATGTTATCTATATGTGGAGACCAAGCTCTACGCGAACTTTCCTCTCCCGGGAAAAGTGGCAGCTTTTTTTACCTGACCAATGATGACCGCTACATGATTAAGACAATTAAAAAAGCTGAAGCCAAAGTTAATTTCCTCCACTGTCTCCCACCAATTTAAATTTCTTATACGTCCATCCGGGGTTTTACTTATTTTATTATGCTGATCCCCCGTACAGGTGCTCTTGAGAATGCTTCCAGCTTATTACAACCATTTTCGATCCTTTGAACATACTTTACTCACTAGATTTTATGGCCTACATTGTGTAAAGTTTGTCGGACCTGCCCAGAAGAAGGTATATTTTCACTCTTAGTTGCTTCGTCGGGCAAATATCATAAATTAATTAATTGTTTGGTTCAAATTACAAAATATGAATGAATCATTAGTGTAAAGGTTATAGGCTTCACAATATGTTTGGTCTTCTAGGTTCGATTTATCATTATGGGGAACCTCTTCTGTACTGAATATGCCATCCATAGACGCTTTGATTTGAAGGGTTCTTCTCTTGGCCGCATAACAGATAAGCCTGAGACAGAGATTGACGCAAACACTATTTTTAAAGATCTCGATCTTAATTTTATATTTCGTTTGCACAAGTTTTGGTTTCGAGAATTTACCAGGTAACTAATGACTTCAGTAACTTAATCCTCTGTTTTATAATGTATTGCTCATCAATTTGACGTCTAACCTACTAAGCTGAACAATTGCAAAGACAAATCATGTTTACAGTTCTATTTCTTATCTTCTCTATCATCTTCTGCTCAATTAAATTGAGGATGTCAAGAATGCTTCTGTTCTCTCAGGCAAGTTGATAAGGACTGTGAGCTCTTGGAACAAGAGGGAATTATGGACTATAGCCTGTTGGTGGGCATTCATTTCAAAGATGTATCAGAAGACGGGGACATCCTTCCCATGACTACAGGTTCTCAAACTCCTAGTGGTAATGTTCATGTTCTTGTACCGGCCAGTATTACTATTATTTCATAATCTTAATATTTCGGATTGTGAAGGAACTCCACATATTCCAAAAGCAGATGTAGACCAACTTCTCTCAGACCCTTCCAGGTGAAAAATCTCTGCTTAAAATTCAATCTGTTGTTTTAGCATATGCTACAAAATAATTAGCTAAGCAGTGATTACTCTGTTGCCATGAACGTTGCTACGTACTTCTAATACAAATTGAGTATTTGAAGGTGGGAAGGTGCCAAATTGGGTGCGAGTACGCCAGGAAGGGTTGAAAGGACAGTAAGAACTGGTAAATGTGAATTGCAACTTGTGGGAGAACCAATTGGAGAGTTCTATGAGGTTGTGTTGTTCTTTGGTGTTATAGACATACTTCAGGACTATGACATCAGCAAGAAGCTTGAGCATGCCTACAAGTCCATTCAGTATGACTCAATCTCCATATCCGCCGTTGATCCTAGATTATACTCGAGGCGCTTCCGCGACTTCATCTTTAGAATATTTTCCCAAGACTCTGGAGAGCCATAGGTGATTTTGCTTCTCTTTTCTGGTCATATACAACACTTGCAGGTTGACCCAAGCAAGCCTGCATTCTCGACCATTCGTGTTTTTCTAATATCGGGGACGCCATTTATGGTTTGTTGTTAAAATTTGTTCTGTTCTTAATGACCTTCAAACTCGGTATAAAGCAGTAGATATGCATATATAATTTTTGTGAACGGATGAAGGAAATTGCTTGGAAAGCAAGAGGGGTGCTGTGATCGCACATGCTAAAGAATAATCTCTCCCTGGCTCATCAATTCTTGATTCCTGGTGGATAAAGAAGGGATTGCAGGGAGTTTTGCCATTTTTGTATCAGACAGAGTTGTATATAGGAAAGGAGAAATGAATGGATGTGTATACATAATATATATTATTATATTTCAACTTGCATTCGCTCCTTCGCTTCTCTCTTTTATATATCATTAGAGGGATTATTCGGCTAGCTATGTCATGAGATGGAATAAACAAGGGTTCCCTTCAAAAGAATTGGTCTTTCTGCAGCAGGGTCAAGTTTAGGGTTGGGAAACCATACTAATTTATCAAAGGTCTAATCTAATCAGTGATTCACATTCTGATTTCAATCGTTCAGTTTGTCAAGGATGAATAAGCCAATGGGTTGAATTTATCACAACGCCTTCCCATATTTGTGGTTCATCTCTTCTCGCAGTCGATAGTTCATGATGGAGAGCATTAGAGAAAAGAGTCATTTATATTCATTATTCTGCCATTGCCAGTAGGACCTCCTTGCCTTTAATTTTCAGGAAGCTTAATGCAAGCTACGGTTTATCCTTAAAATTTTTCAAATTTTAACTTAATTTATTATTCAATTTTATTTTGATATTGATTTATTTATGTGTATATATAATAGTATTAATATAATACTAATACATACTTTATTGGGAAAATGACACAAAAATAATACTTAAACTTGAAAATGCCAAAATGGTCACTTGAATTTGCAAAATCCCAATTTATTCATAAGTGACCAATTTGACATTTATAAATTTGTTGAAATGATCATATTGTCCTTTATTTTATTTATTGTTTTTCAAAAAATCAAATGCCTCCACTAGCCGGCCAGTTGCCAGAGCTCCGATGCCGGCGGCGGCCGTCGGAGCTTAGGTGGCTGCCGTCACCGTAGCTTCCACACTACCACTAATTGGTCTCCGAAGCTCTTGTAGCTGGTAACAATTTTTTTGAAAATTTTTACAACTTCAATAAAATAGTAACAAGTTTTGTAACGTCATTAACGAGTTCAGTATAGCAGTTAACAACAGGTTTTCAGAAAATTCAAAAATTAGCATTTTTACAACTTTAGCATTTCCAAGTTTAATGTCATTTTTGTGTCATTTTTCCTACTTTATTTTAATTATAATATGAATTTTATAAAAAAGCGTAATAATGGTATTTGATGGACTGTATCCAGGCCAGGGGTAACATGAGAACCTATGTATCTAACTATAGATCTTTGGGCCCCTCTTGACTGTATTTATGCTAGATTTCTTTCTATTTTTTTTAATCTAATTGTATAGGTGTTTGGGTCCCTCTTGACTATAGATTTTGGATATGAAATGGCATTACTTGTGTTATTACGGAATTGCTTTTCGTTTATTAAAATTAGATTTTGCCCTTTAACGTATGAGGCATTTTTTATTATTAAAATATGTTTATGTTATGTGAAATATTTTTTCGCCAAAACTTTATGTGAAGCATTAGTAAAAGAAATATATACATGAAAAGCATGGTATATTATTAAACCCCAGGGCCCAAGCAAGCTAAGATGCAGTGAGGATTATACTCAGAGCTGAACGGTTGGGGGCCAAATCGAACACAAAATAAAGAATAGCGGGCCTAAATGTAATTTTAAACCTTTTGAGGTAGAAAAGTATAATTTTTTGTAAAGATCACGTGATGTTCGGGAAGACAAGGACCATGCCTTGCCCCTCTCATCCGTCACTGCCACAGATCAGAGAAATAAAAGGATCAATAATGATAATTAAAAAAAAGAATATCTTCAAGACAAGTGATAATGCAAAAGGCATCAATATTTTGAAAATGATTCGCAGATCAAGTTAATGATAACATTGTTAAGAGCGAATATCGTAAGAGATTAACCAATTTAAAAGCAAGAGGGGAATCCAAAGTTCTGTGTTACCCACCTTATCAGCATAGCAAAGCTATGAGGGAATTATTGAGACAAAGCCAACGGCATGTGAAAATAGATCACTGTACTATTCTGGGGAAAGCCGTATAAAAAAAAAACGAGAAGATAATATAAAAGAAAGGGAAACCTGATACGTGTACAATATTCTACCGCAACTTATGTTTGGGTTTGAAAACTTCTGTTACATTGCCCATATCGATTTGTGATTTGTGCTGAACCTTGGGTTGTGAGAAATATGAGTTTATTAAGTTCAACTGAAGTGAAAATTATTAAATATATCTGGAGTAAGATAGATATACGCAAAGAAGAGTTAAAGAAGCAGAGGTGGACAACAAAAGAAAATGAAAGACGTACACCCGCCCAATGGTTGAGAATACAAGGACATTAAAGTGGGGCTGAGAAAACTCAATATTTTATCATTGTTGACGTTAGTTTATTTAACAGACGCAAATGATATGATATATATAGTGTTCAGTAATTCTTATCCAATAAGCTTGGAAGCTAAGGCCACCCTTTAATTAATCAGACCGTGCAAAGCAGCTGGCCAGCGTATTAATGGCTCGTGGATGCCTTGCTTCCCCTCGCGCACCTCTTCCTTCATCCTCCATCCTGAGTATAATCTCTTCATTATATATTGATTTTCATTGACACATGGACTCTTGTGTGGCTTCATGTAATTATATATCAGACAAACCCTAACCCTACACCTGGCAACAAACTGTGAACAAATATCCATACTTTAGGTTTGTAATCTCGATCTCTCTAATTCATAAACACAAGGAAGTTTAGTTTACTTATTTTTTCTCCACTGTTCTTCTATATTCCACAGAGCCTTCTCAGCATGAGACCTCAAAATTACCGTGCCTACTTGTCGTCTTAATTTTCTTCTTTTCCATGCTTACTCTTAGTTTTCATTGACCCCACACACAGGCACACACAGGAGTTCAAGTAAATTAAAGGGAAGAAAGCTCGGAAGTTTCATATGAGAAAGTAAAAAAGGAGAAGCAAATAAATTAAGTGATGTGTTGGCTAGGTTTGCACCCACGCACTTCCTCCTCATTCCACACAGGAGCGCATAGTTGACACGTTGCGGACATGCGCTTCGGTAGTTCTATGCGTGCCAACGGATCAACCACTGTTCATCGTACTGTAATGGATTATACTATTACAAGGCCTCAACTGAAAGTTAAAAAAATTAATAATATATCAAAAGTAAACACAATTATTAATTACACTTGCATTCGTTTTTAATTTCTCAACTATCATTTTTTAAGTCTTCGTACACTAAAGAAAACGGATGCTTACGGAGGATGAGTGTTTGCAAAGTTATATATATACACTATTCATAATGAGGATCACCATTAATGTAATTAGCAATTACTTGTTAACAGCTCCTCACTAATCCCACGATGTTGGCTTTATCGCCTTCTCTGTTCGCACCCATCGAGTGGGCCTTAGAGGAACGCACAAGTCCCAGTGATCATAACTTGTTTTACAAAGACGGGGTTGCTGATCTTCAGTTTAGTTGCTCGCCGCCACCAGATCATCAGGTTCAGGTTGAGGTTGAGGAGGCTCAGAGATCCACGCCAATATCCCTTGCCGCGAGCGGCGACCCTACCATGGTCGTCAAAAAGCTTAACCACAACGCTAGTGAACGCGATCGTCGCAAGAAGATCAATAGCCTCTATTTCTCACTTCGTTCTATGCTTCCTTTGGCTGATCAAACGGTACCTTTCTTTCTTCCTCCCCACTACCAATTTTCATTTGGGTCAAATCACTGATTAGTATAGAAAGGGCCGAGAAAATAGATACTGGTACCAAGCCCTAATTAATGGATGTTCTCATCTTACTTTTTATGCTTTGTTTTGACCTCATTCGCTTCTTATTGGGAACGGCATAATCACAAGCTATGAAGTTCAACCTTCCTTTTCTTTTCTTTTTCTTATTATCGAGAAAAAAGGCCTGCGTTATGCATCAAATACCTATCTATATACACAACTTAGAAGGTAATATGTCGTCGTTGGCCAAATAAGTATAATTATAATGTTCGATTTTGTGGTTGCAGAAAAAGTTAAGTATCCCGGCAACTATTTCACGAGTCCTAAAGTACATACCGGAGTTACAGCAGCAAGTGGAAGTGCTTATCAAGAAGAAGGAGGACCTTTTGTTGAGATTCTCTCGGCAAGGAGATGCGTCAAGTAAAGAATCTCGAAGGAAAATGGTTCATCACTACGCTGCCACTGCTTGCGTAGTTTCAACAAGCAGGCTCAGTGACAACGAAGCTGTTATTCAGATTTCCTCTGACAAGCTCCACAAAACTCCTTTCTCTGAGATATTGCTGTGTTTAGAAAAGGAAGGGCTTTTATTGCTTAATGCTTCCACCTTTGAGACCTTTGGGCAACGGGTCTTCCATAACTTGCATTTGCAGGTACGCTTCATTTCTAACATGTATTCTATTATACCATTCCAGGTTTTCTTGATTTCTAATAATACATGTTTCCATTGTCTAAATCTATGGCTGATTATGAAGTGCCTACACTGTGGTTCTGCAGATGGATGAAACTCGTAGAATAGAGCCAGAAATTCTAAGCGAGAAGATTTTGTCAATATATGAGAGGAAGGAAGGGAATTTTCAATGTTTTTAAGTATAAGATGACATCCTAATAATTTGGGAGACCTCGTATATGTAATCTGATGACGCCTGAAATGAAATCTGTACATTTTGTGGAAGTTGCAAAGAAGCAAATTGGAGATCGAATATCACTCTTTCATATATGTGGACCTCATGTTAGATACAAATTGAAGTTATCAGATGATATCAAATGAGCTTTTTCTGGATAAAGAAAGTTAGAGGTGGTTTTACCATTCTTGCATCAGACACAGTTGTATATAGGAAATGAGAAGTGAATCAAGGTTACTTACATATAAATATATGCGCCTTCGCTTCGTTAATTTCTGTTATTATCACCAGAGGTATATTATTATTAGAGTGTTACATGCATGGCAAAGAGAGCATCAATGACTCTGTTGTCTTCTTTTAAATGAGCTGCCATATATCATTTGCCTATATATACGTTAATTCATCAATTTTCTCGTTCTAAAAATGTGCCAACCCAACTTATTAATTCATTTTGAAAGATTTACATGTATCTATAGATGCACACACAGACATATGAGGCAGATCGTGGAATTATAAAGAAAATAAAAATTAAATAGGAAGCCTAATACATGCAAACACACTGTTACTTTCCCGCAACTATGCTCTCTGATCTACAAGTCAGCTGAGAGAGGTCCAGCAACTGGGTTTGTATTTGATTCTGCTATCCACATTGATTTGTGATTTCTGCTAAACCTTGGGCTCTGAGAAATAGAAGTTAATTAAGACCATCTGAAGTGAAAACTTATAAAATAAGATGAATGAAGACATATACATTAAGAGAAGTTAAAGAAATAGAGCTGGAAAATTAAACATGAAAAATATATACGCGTGCACCCGAGGCTCGAGAATACAAATTAATGACATCCAAGTTGGGGGTTTAGAGAACTCAATATTATAAATATTACTGACGTTACTTTATTCAACAGACGCAAATGATAAGAAGGAGATGATTATAAATAATAAGTGATCGGTCATTCTATCCGTCAGGTTTGAAAGGCCACCTTTAATTAATGAAACCGTGCAAAGCAGTGGTGAGCACGCTAATGGCTCGTGGATGCCATGCGTCCCCACGCGCCCTTCCCCGTCTCACAGCCTTCATCCTTCACCGTTCATCCTATATGTATATGATCACTTCTTTATATTAATCTTCAATGACACTTAGGCAATCATGTGGCTTAATTTAATTACTAGGTAAACGCTACTCCTTGACCTGGGAACAAATAACGAACAAATATTCATACTTTAATATCAATGACCTTGCTTTAATTCATATAAACACATGGAAATCTAGTTTGCTTTTTCTTCTCCATTAAACTTTCTGTGTTTCTGAGGCTTATCATTTGTCAGCCTGTGACCTCGAAATTACTATGCCTGCCTAATGTCTTTTTCTTGTTTTTTCTGCTCCTAGGTTTCATTGACTGTGAGTTCAAGTCAAGGAAGAAAGTTTGTAAGTTACATGTATATGGCAAATGGAAAAGCAAATAAATTAAGCAATGTGTTGAGTTTCCATCCACGCCGCCTCATTCAACACAATAACGCGCATAGATGACACGTTGCGGACATGCGCCTCCATGCGTACCGAAATGCATCAAATGAAAATCAAAGAACTACAAATATATAAGAAGTAAACATATTAATTATTACAGTTGTATTCATTTTTAAATTTTAACCAATCATTCTTTAAATCTTCGTAGTTCGTACACTAAAGAAAACGGATGCTTACGGAGGATGAGTGTTTATAAGTTATATACACACACACCCACACCTCGCCATAATCAATCGCCATTAATGTAATTAGCAATAACTTGTTAACAGCTCCTAACTCATACCCCACGATGTTGAATTTATCGCCTTCTCTGTTTGCGCCCAGTGAGTGGGACATGGAGGAACCCACAAATCGCAACGATGATCATCAGAACTTGTTTTTCAAAGACGGAACTACTCTTCAGTTTAGCTTCTCGCCACCACCTGCAGATCATCAGGTTGAGGAGGCTCAGAGATCTACGCCACTATCCCTTGCCCCAAGTGAAGACCCGACCACCGTCAAAAAGCTTAACCACAATGCCAGTGAACGCGATCGCCGCAAGAAGATCAACTGCTTGTATTCTTCACTTCGTTCTATGCTTCCTTGGTCTGATGCAACGGTACTTTTCTCTCCTCCTCCCCGCGCCAATTCCCAATACCTGGATCAAATCATTAATTAGTACAGATCGCTGGGATGTTTGGAGGAAGGTGGAGAGAGAAAGAAAGGGCAGAGAAAGCAGATACCGGACATCTCAATATCAAACCCTAATTAGTGGATTTTCTGATTTTCCTTTCTGTGATTAATTTGTCTCGACCAAATTCGTTCCTTATTGGGAACGTCATCAGAAGCTATGAGGTTCAGCCTGCTATAATTATAATTTTGGATTTTATGGTTGCAGAAAAAGTTGAGCATCCCGGCAACAATTTCACGAGTCCTAAAGTACATACCGGAGTTGCAGCAGCAAGTGGAAGAGCTTATCAAGAAAAGGGAGGACCTTTTGTTGAGAATCTCTCGGCAAGGAGATGCGTCGAGCAAAGAATCTCGAAGGAAGATGGCTCATCACTCCGCTGCCACCGCTTGCGTAGTTTCAACAAGCAGGCTCAGTGACAATGAAGCTGTTGTTCAGATTTCCTCCGACAAGCTCCACAAAGCTGCTTTCTCTCAGGTTTTGCTTTGTTTAGAGAAGGAAGGGCTTTTATTGCTAAATGCTTCAACCTTTGAGACATTTGGACAACGGATCTTCTATAACTTGCATTTGCAGGTACGCTTCATTTCTGACATGTATTTTACCATACCTTTGCAGGTTTTCTTAATTCCATATAATATGCACTTCCATAATCTAAATTTCTGTGCTAATTATAAAGTGCCTACTCTGATGTTTCTGTAGATGGATGAAATTTGTAGAATAGAGCCAGAAATTCTAACCGAGAAGATTTCATCAATATATGAGAGGAAGGAAGGGAATTTTCAATGTTTTTAATGAAGATGACATCCTCATAATATATGGGAGCCCTCATACATGTAATCTGATGATACCTGAAAATCTATCTGTACATGCTGTGGGAGTATTACTTTCACAAATTAAAGAAGCAAATTGGAGACGGACGGTCTTTTATATGGACCTTATGTTAGATACAAATGGTACCATCAATTGAACATCTTCTGAATCTGTAACGGCTGCTATTTGTTTAACATGTATAGTCCAATTCCAACTTATCATTATATGAACAATCGGAGCTAACAAATCAGAATTGCCCAGTTAACGTATGTATCTATAAGTGAACGTAAATGTTTAATTAAAAGCGTCGAGCAACGCGAGGCAGGCGATGATTCAGTCCTTTTATGCAAGAGACCGACAAAGGACGTACAGAAAACGGAGGAGCCCTATTAATGTCAGTGTTGGTAACACGTCCGGGTCTTGCTATGTTGTGTTATGGATATGATTGATATAATGCAGGGGTTTGGCTTTGGCTCAAAAAAGAAATTGACTACATCAAGGTCTTTAAACCTGGATTTGGAAAATGCAGGGGACGACGACATGCTGCTACTGGACATAATTCATTTTGCGTGGCTCAAATGATATGTAATTCCTTGTGTCGGCACAAACTTTAATTAATCAAAATATCGGCTTAGTTATGACAAGCCCATTGATTGAATACAGCAGTTAGCATGTGATTTCTAAGATAAATTCGGGTTAATTTGCTTGCTTATATCTAATACTTTAATTAGTTTCACTCATACACACACCGCCAGAGAAACTTCATTCCCATCCAATTTTATGGATTTTCTTGATAACCAACTTTTTACACAATGTTTGTTGGACTTTGGGTCCAACTAACCTTGATGTATGACCCAAAAAAAACCTTGATGGGCCGGGTTGTTTTAGGATTTTTCTAATTAAAATATAAATTAAATCAAGGTTTAATTACAACCGGCTATCACATGGTGGCATCTGGAATATGCGAAGGAGAAGGTTGAGAAATTATATTTTGTTAATACATTATCACTCTGATGCTATAAGGGGACATCTCTCTCAATTATTCTTTACCCTGTAAAGTTTTACGACTCTCTCTCGCATGGGGGCATCTTTTGCACAACCCTCGCCCCTTGTATGTATATTGCATACCAAAGAGACTCGGCATGAACTAAACCAGTGCAGAGATATTCTTTTTTTGAAAGAAAAAAGAAGCAAAATCACTGTTATATTCACAGTATCCCTTTTTTTATGCGCATAGTTGACTTGACTGGCTAAGAAAAGTAGGAGCGGAATGAACAGGAAATGAAACAAGAAGCCGTGTTTTTCTCCACGGACGACGTTGCGGTACTTATTATTGCCATGCGTTTGAATATCTGCTTTTGCTGTATGTTAATTCGAGGACAGACGCAATCTGCATATCCATATCCTCTGACCTATAGCGTAACCTTTAAAGATTTGCATCCAGGTGCAAAGAAATTAGAAGCCGACCACGGTCACTTGTTTTCAAGAGCAATGATTTCATAAGATGCAGCATATCAACTGGCGACGTTGACGCCTGTATCTGTCGTTTATGGATCCAGCGTTACAAATCATACAAGGGTTTACCCACTGATCAGTTTCACAAGTTTAATCTGTTGGCTGTAGCACTTACAAAGAAATAGATAATTTGAGTTACATCTTGTGCACACTGTTCTTAAAAGTTATTTTGCAGTGACCAGCAAATGAGGATGGGAAACTCTTTAAGATCAAATAGATTCTTCCTACAAAACAAAATAAGTAGAATAGCAGAAGATAATAGTAAACTTAATAATTAGCAATGCTCTAATTTTATATTTAAATAATGACGTACAAGAGAATATGGGTTATGACTATGTTAAACAAACTTAGACATTGGATTAACTTTGTCAGCACCTCGACAACAAAAGTTGTGTTGGTAGCAGGATCTAGCGAAGGGAAGAGAATGTTGCTTGCACGTACATTACTTGGATTGAAATAAAAGGAATCTTATAAAAATTGCAACAGTGAAGAGACGTTGAAATTTGCAGAAGGAGCAGGGGAGTGTCGAACAAGACATAAGTTAGTGGAAATGGACAAACTCGAATGACGGCAATAGTTAGGCATTGACCTGGCCTGCTTCTGTTCCTCAATCTGACCCCAACCAGCAGCTTGGCGAAGATGCATCGAATATGTTTAGTTTCGGCATATATAAAATGTTACATAGAAGAAATCAGGAAATTCCAACAGCAACCACGCGCGTGCCAAGAGGTAGCAGCAGATTGATGCCACAAATTTGAAACTAAAAACGTGTCTAGATAAAAACAAAACTATAATTTTAAAAATAATTTTATAAAATACGAAGTAAATATGTGAAAAAATTTATTTTGATTTATAAAAAAAATGTTTCTGTAGTAATCCAAACACCCGCTAAATATTAATTGTTGGGATATACTACATCTGGTCTTAAATATAAGAACAAGCTGACTAGTTTAAAGAGATTAAAAAATAAGCTAAGTTAATTATTTGTAATAAATAGATATTGTGTTTCTTAAAATATCTTTGTTAATCAAATATATTAGTTAAAAATATTGTTATTAAAAAGACTATCTTAAAAAATATATATAAATATAAGAAATAAAATAAATTAAAATATTATCTAGATTTTTTTTTTTTTGATTTGGCGGACATTTATATTGGATCTAACTCGATGCCGAGATGCATGAACTTTTCCCTTAGTTGTCTTGTCAATCCCCGTCTACATCTTCTTCCTGTTCTTATGTGTGGTTTAAATTTCAGAGCAGGACTTTGAAATCTTCGTACATACAGTATAGATATTTGCCCGTACATTTTCTTCTTTTTATAAAGCGGAATTCTACTATGTATCATTCTCAGTCAAACGCACGATCGTTCGCGCCTTTCGGTGCTGGAAAGTTCGATCCAGTATTTTCTGGGTCTTCATTAACTTCCAAAATACTCTCACTTTTAATGCCTTCAGACAACAACGAAAAGAGACAGGAAGTTGTGCTTATGAAATGAGATATTGGCAGGAACTGAAACGATCGATCAGTCTCAAATTTATTGATTGATGGAACATGAGGCATTTCTCGGGATGGCTGTGGCATGACCAGTAGATCGTCTAGAGTGTACCTAAAATATTCCTAAATCGCAATGGTTCAGAAAATTCTAGCTCACCAAAAAATTAAAAAAATAAATAAATACAAAATAAATTTTAAAAATTGTCATTTTATATTCTGAAACTTATAATTACAATCTGTTTAGATTTTTATTGAAACTGTTTAGTAATTTTTTTCTTTAAAATTTTATTGTAATTCTTCTAAGTAAAAAGTTACAAACAAACAAGCCCATGTTTGATGTGTTTTTAATTCTAATGCAGGAAAAATAGAATCATCTTTGATTTCCTTTATTGAATTAGGGCGTTTCAAAACGTTTTGGAACATCTTCATAGAGGAACATTTTACAGATAAATTATTCTTTACATTCTTACCTGTGGTTTCCCCCAATAGAAAATAGGTTGATATTCAAACAAGAAAATCATGCTATTTTAATTTTAATAATAAATTTTCCCTCCACAATGAAATAATATCATATTAATAAAAATCACACAAAAGGATCAAAGATGAATAACAGACAGCAGATTTAGTGATAGGGTAAGGCGCATGAAATTAAAAGGGTGCGAGCACGTTAATAAGGCCCTGAAAAACTAAACATCCTTCGCAGGAAGAGAGAGAAACTGGGAAAAACGAAGTCTGCAGTGCAAAGGACAACAAAAAAGAAGGGGTGTAGAGAGAGAGAGGGGCTGTGATCTGAGAATAAATCAAAATAACATCATTGATGGCATCTAGAGCTGCACATGGCCAGGACTGGGCAGGGCAAACCCCTTGCCCGATGCCCAGCCCGAAAGATGAGCGGGCTGCGTTTTGCAGCCCGCTGCCTGGCCCTGCCCAGTAGAAGCCCTAACCATTTTAGGCAGGGCAAGGACGGGCTGGGCAGGGTGGGCTTTTCTGCCCAGCGTAATGACACTATGCCTTATATCATATGTAGAAAAAAAATTCAATTATCGTGTTTTGAGACAAGTGAGAGAAAAAAAAATTATCACGAATGAGTCTATCACTCATATATATATAAGGCTTATGTATTCTTGTTCTTCAACTTTCAATTTCTTATGGGAGGTAAAAAAAAAATATTTAATAATTAGAACATTTAATAATCAAGCTAAATCAGTAGTTCAATTCCTTAGTTTATTCATATAGTTGACAGATTTTTATAATCATGTGAAAGCACAAAATTTGAAAGGTGGTTTTATTTTTCTTTTTTTTGTTTTAAAAAATTCGATGTAAGAGAAAAAGAAAGAAATTTGACTTGAAGTAATTTAGCATATTGAATCTTATATTTTGATATATAGCTCTTTTATATAATTATAATTTTATGTTCCTTTCATTTTTTCTAATTTTACCTAATTTTTTTGGCCAAAACAAAAGAGATAATTGCTTAAAATAATATTATCTTATATATATAATTATATATTTTTTCGGGTAGGGCCAAATGGGCAAGGCAGCATACCCTGCCCGCGGCCCTGCCCTGCCCGCGAATCAACCCAGCCCGAAGATGCCCATTTTTGCTTGGGCAGCTTTTTACTGGGTTGGGCTGGGTGCTTTTCTTGCGGGCTCGGGCGGGTTTATTGGACATTCGGGCCCCATGCACACCCCTAATGGCATTTGCTTGGGGTAGCGTCAGCCAAGGGAGCACGTCTCTAATCTGAACGGATGATTTTGATTTTGCATACTTCAGATTTAATTCCAATTTATTTTGTTGAATACATGTACGCATAATCTAAAATAAAAATAATATTATAATGAACACCTCATAAAAATAATTTAAAAGATTAAAAACTTCAAATGTAATTAAGTAGTTAGATAATTCTTCACAGGGAGCAGCGAACGAGGACCGCGGATCAATAATAACCAGTAGCGTACGCATGCAATCTTGATAATCACGTTTCCCTGAGATGGGCATCGCAGGAATTGGCAAACCATTCTACTGCCGTACAATTACGCATGCTTGGGTTGGATTTATCCCTTTATCCGGTAAGTGATATTTATAGTTTCTTCGACGTGTATATATATCCCGACGGATATCAAAATATTGACTATATCATCAT